AGAGAGAGAGAGAGAGGGGACAGGGGAGACTCTTGACACCCCCCTCCTCTCTCCCACCCTCCCTGGAGCACCGCCTCCCTTGAGCTGCCAGGAGACTAAGATGAGGGTGTGCAGAGTGTAGACTGAGTTGATGACAAATAGCTAACTCTGTTAGATGATGTAAAAGGATTAGATGATGTAAAACGAAACTTTTATATGCTGGCATTGTCACAAATGTTCTTTGTGACATTTGGTGAGGGTCATTCTTTGCATTGTAGACTTGGCGCTAAATAAATGACTGAATTAGGGCTTCTAATTTATGTTTGGGCTGTTTGGGTTTCGAGTTTTCTTTAAGGTATTGGTGTCTTTTATTGTTGATAGAGAATTGGGGGGTAGAATTAGATCATCACCAAGGCAGCCAACCTAGGCTCTTATACTAAAAAGTTCTTTTCTCAAGACCCAAAATAAATTCTTTTTCTCTCAATTTTTTTTATTGTCCGACTCTTATGTATTTATAAAAGAAAACCCTAGAACTTAACTTGATCCTCAAGGAACTCCAAGGACCCCAAATTCTTTTCAATTCTGCCCCTCAATTGTCTACAATATAAAGAAGACATGAATATCCTAAAAGAAAACTAGAAACTCCAAGGACACCAAATTTAAATTTCAATCTCCTAAAAAATAGTAAATTGAAAACACAAAAGCCTTAGGGGTTAAGAGAAGCTCGACTACAAGCTTGAAGACTCAAAATTTGTATCAAAGACAATCTCCTTTGTCCAGGTGGTTGTATCTCTGGATGCTCATGTTCTTCATGAATTTCAATGGTTTTGCTAGCTAAGTATACCTATGTCATCTTACTCAAAAAAAAGTGTACCTTTGTCATCTTTTTTGGGCTTTCATATGCAATGGTGTCTACTTTCATTACACTGATAGCAAGTAACATTGGAGGAATCTTTCTTTTCTTCATTAAATTTTTGGTGGTGGAAAACCTCCTTCTAGTTGAGGAATCACTTAACATTGCTCCATTGTTATTTGGTCTCCACTAGTAAAACAATTTAAAAAGCCTTGCTTAAGGTTCATGGCCGATATAGAAAGACCTCATCCCTAATGGTTGGTTGGAGCCCATTAGCATAATGGGCAACAATTTACCCTTCAGTCTCTTGGAGTTTGCTTCTAGCCACTATTTTATAAATTCTTTACTATAGCATTCTATTGAAGATTTTGGAGGTCTTCAAAGAAAATTTGCTCATGGTCCACAAGAAGAAAATTTTCCTTCAATTTTTTTCATCTTTTGCCCATTAGAAAATTTTGCCTCTCCATTGCAAAGTCGAGATTGTTGAACATGTTTTTATGAGGCCACAACAAACCGGTGGAGTTTGGTTGCAACAAGTTTAGCTTTACACTCTTCTAGCAATTCACTCCATCAAAAAAAATTTCGACTGCACTAAATCAATCAATAAAACTCCCTATATGGAGCTTACCATGCAACTCCGAGAGATCTTTGTTAATACTAAGATCTCGTGGATGATCTACAGGTCGCGGTTCTTGCCTGTACATTTGCTCATTACATTTGAGATGGGTTGTTGGTCGTGGAGCTTGATTCTTCTCTATTTTCTGAGATTTGGTACCGGATCTACATGATTGCGAGCATTGTCTTCTTGGCGATCGGTATTTTCTAATCATCACAACTGATGATTTATTTCACCCATCTATCTTCCAAGTTCATTGATCTCTCCTTGAATTCCATGGATCTCGATTCGAATATCTTCCATGGCTTGATTTATACCCTCTTTTATTTGTTTATTCACAACCTCTATAATTTGTGGCAACATATCCTCGATCAAAAGAGCAGGTTTAGGTGATGGATCTTTGGAAGTGCTGATAGCAATTGATCTAGGGAAAATAGTGAGACAGAGAGAAAAAAATTAAACCAAAAAATTAAGAATAAAGGTGAGAGATTATACCAGGAGATTCATTTTATTTCTCTCTATTTTTTTGGTCTAACACTTGTATATTTATAGAAGAACACCCTAAAATATAACATGCTCTCTAAGAAACCAATATACAAGAGCACCCTAAAATATAACATGCTCCCTAAGAAACCCAAATCAATATTAAATTCTAACTTTTCATCTTTGAAAAATTAAATCTTCAATTCTACTCCTCAATTCTCTACAACAAAAAAAGATTTAAATACACTAAGAAAAAACTAGAAACCCAAGGAGGTCGACCTTAATACTGAGATCTCATGGACTCTCTGCAGGTTGTGGTTCTTGCGTCCAAATTTGCTCATTGTGTTTGAGACCGGCACCTGAAGTCGGTCATGGAGCTCAATTTGTCTCCTGGGTGAGATTTGGCGTTGGGTCTCCATGATTGTGAGCACCCTCTTCATAGTAATTGGTATTTTCTAATTATTGCATATGCTGTGATGGCTTACTTCACCAATCTTTCTTCCAAGTTCACTGATCTCTCCTTAAATTCCATTGATCTTGACTCAAACTTCTTCCATGGCTTGATTTATGCGCTCTTCATTTTTTCCATTCAATAACCATGATGTAGGAGCAAGTTAGAGACACACTCAACATAAAGAGAACAATATGAAAAAAAGACAAATATTTAAGTCCTTTTTGCTGGGTTTGTATGGCCTGTCTTAGTTTCTGCAGATTCTCAATACAAATCTTAAAACTCTTTGAACTAAAGAAAAAAGAACCTTGTAACCACTACTTAGAACCCTAAATCATATGTTGCAGAGACACTGATACGTGTGTCAGTTCCTGTGGACCATATTTAAGGAAGCCGGAAAGTGGGATTTAGGTCACATTAAATGTTTTCATAGTGAGATTTTAAGAAATGGTTAAGAAAAAAGTGTTAGACGCGGGTGTCATGTCCTTGGTATGTTGACACATGCAAAACACCATGGACACATGTCTCCTTGTTACCTAGATTGAACCCTAACCTTAACAGACCTGATATTTTGGAACATCCTAACAAATAGGAAATATCAAATCTGTCCTAAAATAGGACAAGTATGACATACCTTGAGACAATGCTTTATTTCAAGCTATGGTTGGCTTGTCTCATCGAGCTACCCCAGATTGATATATTGTAATTGATTTTGATGCATGAGCGAAAAGTTATAGTCCTCGAAAGTATTAAGTCTTCTAATGGCATCAAAAAGTTGAATCGAATGGGACTTCCTCTTGGTGCTTGAATTTTTTGGGTCAAAGAACTCCATTATGATTACGAGCCAGATCAAAATGTATGTGTCTCGGGATATCAAAATAATTTTGGAGTTAAATACTCTAAAAGGGGCAAACTTGTCATGTACCATAATATATATGGGAAACTTATCATGATTTACCCTAATATATATGGGGTTTATGAAAGAAAGGCCAAACTACTCATTTTTCAATTTCATTCCACTTGTGGCTTTTGATAAAAAAGCCATAATTTTAATTTTTTGATGCCTTGATTGCAGCAGTAAAATGCATAAAACTGTACAAATTCATACTCTTATGCTTTTGAGTTTAAATTGCGGCTTGTGAGGAGATTTTCACATTTGTCTTGTTTGTATATTATCACTATTTGACGCTGTTCTGTTTATTATCTTCCATGATATGGCTCCTAAAAATTGTTATTTATGTAGATAAGTTGTTGGCATGGTTTCATCACATTTGGGTTTCTTTAGAAGATCTTATACAATCATTATTTGGATTTCTAGGCAAGTTCATTTCACCTATCATTGAAGAGTTGAGCAAAAAGTATTCACATGTCAAAGTTCATAAGGTTGATGTGGATCAGGTGAGTGAAGTTTACTTTGTTTTCTTATGTTCTCCAGTGTTCTGAATTTCATGATCATGATCAGTAATTGCTAGTGACCATGCTGATTCCTTGTCGGAATCAGCGATTAAAATTTTTTATGTTATATGATCTGTACATTTTATAACATAAAAATCAAATAGCCAAGTTGGTTGGACTGTTGGCTATTAATGTAGGGTGGGGAGTTCGGGCCCTCTTCGTGCTTCCAATTTTCTGTTCTTCAACCTCCTTTTTTTTTTTCTATTGTTTTGGGACTAACCAAAAGAAGTTTCAGTGGAAGGGTTCGAGCCTCCAATACCTGGGCATCAACCAAGCGCTCTAGTCAACGTAGCCACTTTAGCTAAGCGATACAAAACATATATATTAACAATATGTAACTTCTCTGTTTTTTTGTTAACCCCCAAAAATAAAAAAAGGTTATAGTGGGAGGGTCTGAACCTTCAACATCTGGACATCAACCAGACCCTCTAGCCAACACAACCACTCTAGCTGATCAAACAAAACATATATATCATTTATTCTATCGTAAATTTTTTTTTTTGCCGGATCGCTGATTTAGGTAATCCAGATTGCCCATCTGTATGATCCAAAATGGGTTCAGTGGGTGGACAAGTCCCCCACCGATCATTTTTAGAAACATTGATGTGCTCTATTTCAATTAGATCGGAATCCTTCTATGTTAGCCCACACACTTCAAAATAAAACTTTTGTCACCTCTGACTCTTTTAAGTTATTAAAATTGCTAGGATCTACAAGATCTTTTGATCTTCATCATCATAACAGCATCTCCCCCATGCCTTTTGTTCCTTGATCTGAATTTAATGCCCTTCCATTCTGGTTCTCGTTTGGGTCCAATATCTAGCATTTGAATAGTCCATGTCCCTTTTGAACAAGATTGTTCCATCATTTCTTGTAAAGAAAAAAGTCTTATTAAAAATGGTGATGGATGAATACACAAACAAAACTGCCATTTCTGTTATACTTCTTACAGGGCTATTATGTTAGTTCTGTCGTCCACCTAAAGATTCATCCCTTCATCTTGCTTGTATTAAAAATGATACTTTTATGTTAGTTCTGTCGTCCACCTAAAGATTCATCCTTTCATCTTCCTTGTATTAAAAATGGTACTTTCGACCCTCAAAATTTCCTGTTAACATGAAGAGACTCTTTTCTTCAAATGCCAAATAAGTTTTCCTTCTGTATCAACTTTTCCTTATTAAGCCTTTTATTATATGAAACTATGAAGTGAACACTTGCCTGTAGCTCAAGAATGTCTCTAATGTGGTAAATCTTGTCATGAACTTGCTTGGCTGTTAATAATCCAAATAAGAGTCATAAGCTTCTTGCTGGACTTCTCAATTTTCATCATCAGGTGCTCAATTTTCTTCAGTTACTTAATAATGTATTTGATTATAATCCTTTGCAGGAGGGTCTTCAAGACACACTAAGCAAGTTACAGGTCAATTCAGTGGTAGGCGCTTATCTATCTTCCATCAGTTGTGTATGATATTTTCTCAAATCGGATGAACCATCTGAATTGACATGATTACTGTCATTGTTTTCTATTATCTTTAGCACAAAGTAACTAGTATATTAGTACATGAGTTTTAGATTATGAATGTCCCTCTTTATTTCAATGTTGTCATTTTATTAGTAGAGGCCTCAGTCAAATGCATTGCATCGATTATCTTTCAAGGGAATGTTGAGCTGCGGTTATTAAAAGCAAGAGGGGCTAGCTGCAGTACAAATTATGTGCAAGGAGGCTACCTTCATGTGCATAACCCTTTCCAGTTGTATTTTCTGTAAGCTTGGGTTCTGCCAGAGTGTTCTAATGCCCTGGAACCAAAACCAGTTATTTGAGTTGTCTTGTTTGGCCTGAAAGAACTTTTTCATGCAAGTTAGGAAACAAAACATACAAAATAAACTAATCAATGATCACTTTTATTATTATTATTGCTGCTGCTAGTGCTACTACGACTACCTGCTACTGCTGCTGCTGTTGTTACTGTTAGTACTACTATTCCTGCTACTGCTCCTACAACTAGTACTGCTACTGCTATTACTGCTGCTGCTACAATTACTACCTACTAGTACTACTAACTACGACTACCTACTACTACCTCCTGCTGCTGCTGCTACTACTACGACCTACTATTGCTGCCACTACTGCTGCTTCTACTGCTACTAGTATTTGTAAATTGTAATTTAACCTTGTTAGTTTTCTCTGGCCCATGTTGAAATCAAGGAAACAAGTGCAGATTTACTTTGATGATACCCTAGAAAAGACAAGGCTGATCATCCCAATTGTTGTTACTTAATGATGCGAAAGGACAGCAACAAGCTGAATCCATTATTCTTTCAATTGTGGAGCAATTAAAAAAAAAAAAGAAAAAAAAAGAAGCAACAATGGAGGTAAAACAAGCATGTATTAATGGAGAAGAAAATTTCCACCACTCAAAAAAATAACTCAATCCAAAAACATAACCATTGTAGGGATGTTGAAAAGTTCCCCCCTTTAATACTAGTAGTCCCATAATAATAAAGTCACCATCGTCATCATTTTAACCTTTTCCCATAATAATAAAGTAATAAAATAAAAAATAGAATACCTAGAAACTATCCCCTCTATCTTCTTTCATCTACGCACTCTTTCTATAAGTAGAATACAACCCATGTACTCTCGTCTCGTCCAACTAACTTGGGACTCCCCTCTCTTCCCCAACCAAATCCCTTTATTTTTTTGGACACCCACCTCAATCCCAACTTCCACACTTTTGTATTTTTTCCTACCAAACTCCCTAGCATATTGCTTACACTTAAATTGTTCACCGCAGTTTGGTCATCTGTTTGTGGATGATAAGCATCGGTGAATTGCAACTTAGTACCTAATTTTTCCCATGATGTTCTTTGAGTATGGCTAAGAAACCGAATATCATGCCTGAAGTTATGGTCTTCAAAATCCCATGTAGTTGTACGGAATCCCATGTAGTCGTACGATCTCCTTGAAGAAGAGTATAGCAACCATCATACCATAAGTGGTCCTCTTGTACAGTTTGAAGTGCACCATCTTAGAAAACTGATCCTCGACCACCCTAATTGAATCACGACCTCTTGGTGTCCTTGGTAGGCCCACAATGAAATCCATAGATAAATCTACCCATGACCTAGTTGGGACAGGCAATGGTGTGTATTGAGGCTGGTGTTTTGAGTGTCCCTTGCCCACCTGACATTCTCTGCACTTGTCAACAAATCTGTACACATCCCTTCTTATGCATGGCAAAAAATATTACTCTTCCACCAATGCATAGGTCTTATCCTTGCTAAAATGACCATCAAGTCCTTCTCCATGGAGATCTAACATGAGATTATCTATAAAAGAAGTATCAGGGATACATAACCACGTGTCATAGAACAAATACCCATTAGTAAAATTAAACCGGCAATAAGAGGAATAATTTCCTAAGTTGCAATTTGACACTATAGTGCTGAAGTATTGATGCAGATCAAGAGCTCGGTCATTCAAAATGCGTGTATATTTTATTATTTTTATTAGGGTTGAATTTTTCGGAATTATAATGTGGGGTTAATCTCCAACAATCATAATTTATTTTATTTTATTTTCTATTTCACTTGACATGCTACTATTCATGGGTTACTGTTCACAAAAGTATTGATAGAATTGTGACATTGTTCAGGGGTATTTTAGAGTCTTAAATTGTTTACATGGATCTTAAGTTAATTTTAGCATTTCAGAGACATATAAATGGTGGGACGTCACATTATAGGATTCTTATATTATTGGAATAAAATTTATTTTATGAAAGAAAAAAGTTCTTCTCGTGGCTTGATTTATATCTATGCTTTTTCTTCATTATTGCTGATTTTTACTTGTTTGATGTTTGGGAAAAAGGTGGATTTAATTTCCCACCTTTCATTCCTGCATCAAATAGTATCAAAGCTTAGGTTTGGAGACGGTTAGAGATTGCGATAGCTGGTCGTGGAGGTTTTAGCCATAGGGATGCTAATTGGATTGGATTACGCAAGGAAATCGACAACTTGATGCAGATGGTTCCACAACGATTGTGCTATCGAGACTAGCAACAACATGCCCTAAACGAAGATGAATCTATAGGGATAGATCCAAATCGTGAGGGTTTTTCTGGAGATTCATGTGTATCAGAGTTGCACAATGGCATAGACGAGAGCATAATTTTGAAGGAGAACAACATGGATCCAATCTTCATTAGGATTCAATATTCTTTAAATCAGTGGATAATGCTCATATCTTTGATAGTGATCCTATTTTTGATAAAGAACCTGGTGATCCAATATTTGATGGTGATCTTATATTGATGAAACATTGGATGAAAACGAAGAACTTGGAATTTCTATCTATGATGAAGAATAAGTCGCAGGTGATAGTGATGGTCGTCGCAATGATGGTAATGACTATGATAGTGATGGTGGTGAAGAGTTAAAAGAGGATGCAATTGGTGGCAATGACAATAAAGAGCTCTTTCTCTAGTCAGTGTTGAGGCTGAACTTTCGTATTTCCAATTAGAGGATTCCATCCCACAAAGGCATGTTACTATAGCTGGGTGCAGCAAAATCCTTATGAACTTGTTTAAGGACATTTTCGGGGATATTTTTGTCCATGCTAATAGTCCATATGTCTCAGGATCAAGCCCCACATCGATGCGCAATATTCAGGTTGAAAGATACCTTGTGTTTAGAGGAGGATTCATATTAACCATTTCAAAGCTCCAGAGTGACTTTTCTCCAACTAGGGGAAGAATGATGGATCAAGAGCTAGGTGATTAAAAAATGTAATTTAATTTTTTCGTGGATGTCGGTGTACGCTTTATTCATTTTTGTTAGGGTTTAATTTTTTAGGACTTATAATGAAATGGGTTTAATCCCCAACACTTAGTTTCTGAGTTTTTTTATTTGCTTTTGTTACCATTCATTGTTACTATTAATGGGTTAATGTTCACAGGGGTATTTCTGAAATTATGATATTGTTCAGGGTTATTTTAGAGTTTTAAATTGTTTACTTGGATCTTAAGTTAATTTTAGGGTTTGTTAGGCTTATAAAAGGTGGGACGTCACATTACAGGATGCTTATGTTATTTGAACTTCACATTACAAGATGCTTATGTTATTGAAATGAATTTTTCTTTTATGAAAGCAGAAAGTTCTTCCGTTGGCTTAATTTACAGCCATGCTTTTTCTCCATTATTGCTATTTTTACTATTTTGAAGTTCGAGAAAAAGGTAGTTTTAATTTCCCACCTTTCCTTCCTGCATCAAATATGGATCCTCCAAATATGCTTGTCAAATAGCTTCAAGACCCAATACATGGACAATTTAGTTGCGCATAGATATGATTGTCCGGCTACGCACATTAGCCACTTGATTCTGGTCCATGACTGGTGTTGAATGGTGAATATGAGCTCTTGCAAGTAATTTGCCCACGTTGCATGCTGTGCATCAAGCTTCTTCTGGTTATTAATGTGCTTTAATGTGTCATGATCAGAGAATATGATAAACTCTTGGTACACTAGTTAATGTCACTAATGTCTTGGGGCTCACATGACTGCATAGAATTCAAGTCATATGTGGAATACTTCATTCACTTAATTGAGTTTTCCACTACAGAAAGCAACATGCCTCCTTTCTTGACTAAGCACTAAACCAATCCCTACATGAGAAGCATCACATTGTACCTGGGAAACCTTGTTGGAATCTGGTAATGCAAGCATGAGCGCATGTATCATCCTTTCTTTAATGGCGTCAAAATATTTATTTGCAACTGGGGTCCACAAGAAAGCGGGACCTTTCAAACACTCAGTGATTTGGGCCATGATAATGTTGAAGGTTCCAATGAACCGCCTCTAGAAAGTAGCAAGTCCATGGAACTATGTACCTCTAAAACTGATTTTTGGAACCAGCAATTCTACTATGGCATGCACCTCTCAGGGTCTACCTTCGCCCCATCAAAAGACACAATATAGCCAAAAAACAGTACATTAGTGCTCAAGAAGTTACACCTCTTAAGATTGATTTATAACTTCTCGGCCATTAGCACTATTACTATTTGGCACAAAAGGTCGCAATGGACATCAGCATTTCACTATAAACAAATGTATCATTGAAATAAACCACGGCAATCTTACCTATGAAATGTTGTAATATGTATGTCATCATGGGTATGAGCGTGCTAGGTGCATTAGACAGGCCAAAAGGTGTAACCAACCACGTATACAAACCACTTTGTGTTGAAAGCAATCTTCCACTCATCTCCTTTGTGTATACAAATTTGATGGTGGCCACTTCTCTAGTTAATCTTCGAAAATAAGCAGCTCTAGCCAGCATGTCAAGCACATCATTCAACCGTGGAATAAGGAATCAATATTTGAATGTGATCTTGTTGATAGCCTTCCTTTCTACACACATTCTCCATGATCCATCTCTTGTGGGTTAGCAAGGTTGGTAAAACACATGGACGCATGCTAACCCTTATGAACCCCTTTGCTAATAACTCATCTAAAAGGTGGACTATGTGATCGGGCGAGGCAATGCCGATTAAAATTTTTCTATTTTTTCTTTTATATATATATTTTTGAAAATGTTAACATTGTATTACTGAGGGAGTAATAGTTACAAGAAGAGATAGTTACAAGAAGGGAAAACCAAGGGCCCCCCTAGGGGGAGCCCTTGGTAAAAAATGCGTCAGACAACCATATACAAAACTGGGGGCTTATAAAATTGCCCATTTACAATGACTTACATTGGGTAACCAAAGAACAAGAGCAAAAAATCAAGGAGTGCGCAATCTTAAATGCTAGGGGAGGTAGTGTTCCATGTCAAAAAAGATAGGAAGGGACTCGGCATTGTCTTCATCTCTAGTTCTTCCTCCCTCCTTTGCCATCAGGTCCGCGAACTCGTTGGACGTCCTCCAGATATGCCTCCAAGAGACGTTCTCTAGATATGCCTCCAAGAGACGTTCTCCAGATATGCCTTCAAGAGACGTTCGTATCCCTACAAATTTGGAAAATTTCATAAAAATTGGATGTGAGTTGCCATGGGGGAAGGGTCTTCCCGCTCGCCCAAGAGATTGTATTTTGGGAGTCGCCTTCGCCGATGAGCCGTTCTTCCCAAGATCGGTTAAACTTTTTCAGCCCTATCAACAAGGCTAAAGCCTCTGCGAATTGGGAATCACCGTAGCCAAGGTGGTCGGAGTACGTAAGAAGTACTTTCCGATGGCAGTCTCTAAAAACACCTCCAGCTCCACACGGGTCTGGATTCGCAATTGAGCATCCATCAAAATTCAACTTCACACAGCCCACCGGTGGGGGCTGCCAGTTGTTGTGTCTAATTGCCTTTCTAGGCTGGTGGTAGAGAATGTTCTTCCATTGACTTTGAAAAAGATCCATGGGAAGTCCCGCAAAGTTCTTGTGGTTGGATGCCCAAAAGGGGACCACCACAGCAGTTATCTTGTGGAAAAGAGTTGAGGTTGGTAGTTTGGTACATCTAAAGATTCTATTATTCCTTTCAGTCCTTAAGGTCCAAATGGTGGCCGCGACGCTTGCTTTCCATATTGCTTTTCCAGCTTTTGGCCAATTAGAGTCCACATCATAGGAGATGATGGCTCTGACCGATGGTGGCATACCCATTGGATGCCAAAGTGTTGAGGTACTTTGCCCCAAAGCTCGTGAGCAAAACAGCAGAGAAGGAATATATGGGGGTTTGATTCCTCTTCAGAGAGGCAAAGAGCACATCTATTAGGGATGGGGATCCCCCTTTTAGTAGTTGGTCCACTGTGAGTCCTCTGTTGGAAGTAGCTAACCAGTTCAAGGTTTGTACCCTAGGTGGTGCTAAGGTCGACCAAACTTTTGCCATGGCTGAAGTGGGGTTGGCAGGGAGGGTGGGGGCTTGGGAAAGACTCTTATAGAAGGAGGCCACTGTGAAGGTGCCGGTTGGTGTGAGGGTCCACACCATTTTATCAGTCCCATTTAAGGGGATGAAGTTGGAATATAGCAAAGCCGAGACGGTTTGGAAGTACTGGATTTCATCCTCATTTAGAAGCCTTCGAAAGGAAGGGTTCCAGGTTCTACAGTCTCCTGTTGCCCCCATTTCCTCAGCGACTGTGGAAAGTTTGTTGGTGGCTAAGGGGAAGAGGGTTGGAAAAGCTTGGCTAAGGGGGGAGTAACCCAGCCAGAGGTCAGACCAGAAGAGTACCTTATCTCCCGTCCTAGGTTGAAGGCGAACCCTTCTTTTGAATTGAGGGAGGGAAGTAAGGATAGACTTCCAGGCTTCCGATGCTCTCGGCCACCTTCTATATTCAGGGAGCCAAGTTCCTTCCGGGATATTGTATTTACTTCGGAGGATAGTGGCCCAGAATGCATCCGGCTGCATAGCTAGACGCCACCACCATTTCCTAAGTAAAGCCACATTGTAAGTTCTCAGAGATCTGATGCCTAGACCTCATGAATTTTTAAGTTAACAAACGTTTTCCCATGCCACCAGGTGAAATTTGGACTTCTCTGCCTTCCCTGACCACAGGAAGGTCCTCATTAGTTGTTCTAGGCGATTGGCTACCTGAGCTGGCATGTGAAAGAGGGACATAAGGTACACTGGGGAGTTGGCCAAGGTGGCTTTGATCAAGGTAGATCTACCTGCCAAAGAGTGGTATCTACCTTTCCATCCCGCCAGCCTCCTATCTACCTGCCAAAGAGTGGTATCTACCTTTCCATCCCGCCAGCCTCGTATCTACCTTGTCCAGGATATGAGACCAGAGTCTCTTCTTTGGTTTTCCAAGGCCCAAAGGAAGGCCCAAGTAGGTAGTGGGAAGATCAACAACTTTACACTGCCAATCTAAGATGAAGTTTCGGACTTCGGTAGTGGATAAGCCAACTCCCATCATTTTAGATTTCTCCAAGTTGACCTTGAAGCCCGTATCTACCTGGAAGCAGTGGAGGAAGAGCTTAAGGGCATCTACTTCACAACTGGAAGCATCGAGGAAGACCAACGTGTCATCTGTGTATTGCAGATGAGACACCATAGGGCCTTGCGGGCTGCCATTGAAACCTGAGAGGATACCCGCTTGGTAGAGCCTAGAAAGCGACCGGCTGAAAACTTCAGCTGCTATTGTGAAGACGAAGGAAGAAAGGGGGTCCCCTTGTCGGAGCCCCCTCGAGGAAGGAAAATAACATTTCGGGGTTCTGTTTATAAGGACGGAAAAGTAGGGGTGGGAGTAACAACCTCTCATCCACTTCTTCCACCTATCTCCAAACCCCATTCTGGCTATGGTTTCCTCCAGTACCGACCAATCGACATGGTCATAGGCCTTTTCCCAATTAATTTTGAATATAAGACCGGGACACTTGGAGAGGTGCCTGGAGTGGATGCAGTCGTGAGCCACGAGGGCCCCATCAAGAATCTGCCTTCCTTGGATGAAGGCAATTTGAGGTGAGGAGATGATATCAGGAAGGACCTATTGGAGTCTTGTGGCCAGGACTTTAGCCAGGATTTTATACGTGGAGTTGAGAAGACTAATTGGCTGAAAGTCCTTGATCTCTTCTGCCCCTTCTATTTTTGGAACCAGGGCTATAAAGGTAAGCATTCATGGCTTTATGTATGGTCCCCTTATGGAAAAATTCGTCAAAGAAATCTATGAACTTAGGGCGGAAGGTTTCCCAAAAGGTTTTGAAAGGTGCTACTGGGAAACCATTTGGACCAGGGGCTTTATCTTTGGCTAGAGTATTGATAGCTCGTAGTATTTTATCTTCCGATAAAGGGTGCTCTAACCACTCAGCTTGATTAGCGGGGAGTGTCATGAAGTCTAGGGAGGACATTGTTGGTCTCTTTGTTTGCGGGGTGCAATAAAGGGTCCAAAAAAAGTCCAGGATGGCCTGCTCTATAGCTTCAGGGTGGGCCAGGTAGCAGTTGTTGTGTTTTATCACCGAGATAGAGTTTTCACGCCTACGACAGTTTGCGATCCGATGGAAGAAAGCAGTGTTTAGATCACCTGCTTTCAGCCATTGCACCCTTGATCTCTGATACCAGTATATCTCTTCTTTTTGAGGGTCGAGAGATATTCCATCTTGGATTGGGTTCTAAGGTTCAATTAAGTGGGGTTCAGAGGTCTGGATTCCTCAATCCCGTCGAGGTTCTACAAGGACTCCAGTAAGGAGGATTTAATATAGGAAAAATTGCAAGAGAAGGACCTGCTCCAATTCCTAAGGGAGGATTTGAGAAGTTGGATTTTCGACTGCAGCCTAAAGCCTGCTCTCCAATTCACCTGGGCAGAGAAAGAATTCCATCAGGCTGGAATAAGGGTAGCAAGGGAGAAATGTTTGAGCCACGCAAGTTCAAACTTGAAGGGTTTAGGGCCTCCAACTATCTGCCATCGTATCAAGGAGGATGGGGCAATGGTCAGAAGTTGGTTTGGGTAGGGCTACCACAGTGGATCTCGAAAAAGATTCCTCCCAGTTAAGGGATAGGAGGAATCTATCCAACTTAGAAAGGGAGGGACTGGAGGCGTGGTTGGATCAGGTAAAGCGGCAACCTTGAAGAGGAATATCTACGAGTTCTTGTTGGTTTATAAAGTCGGAGAAATCCCTCATTTCCTGAGAGATGGAGGTTGAGAAGTTCCTCTCGAATGACCATCTGGTGATATTGAAGTCAACTCCCAGAGCCCAAGTGGGGTGGGGTAAGGCTGCCACATGCTCTAGCTCTGGCCAAAGCCTGTGTCTGAGGGAGGCACAATTTGGGCCATAAACTGCTGTGAATCTAGGGGGCCCTTACTTGGTTGCTAGAGAGGGTTATCGTCACCGAGAATTCCCCTATGAAAGAGGAAATAAGGGTGTACTCAAAGGGGTTCCAAATTGACCCAAATACCCCTCGACGCCCCGTTTGCTGGCAAGGAGACGTATTGGCAGGGTCTTTTGCCCCATACCTATTGGATGAGATGGAGGGTACGTTCCGGTTGCTTAGTTTCGATAAGGGCTAGAACAGTTCAATGGTGTTTAATGGCTAAGTCCTTACCTGCAGCCCTTTTGGCCAGCTGCCCCAGGTCCCTAACGTTCCAGGTAATGATCTTCATTAGGGAGGGGGGGTGGAACGGAGGAAGAGATCACTCTAGGTGTTCTCCTACGGCGGTAATGGGAAGGAGGCTCACGGCGCATTCTGTTGGAATCAGAGTCATAGGATATGGAAGAGAAAAGATTTAACAATTCGCGTTGGCCTCTGAATTTCACCTTCATCCTACTGTTAGCATCAGCCGTCAAGAATTTGTGAGCTGGTCCCTATGGGCCTTCGTGGTGGAAGCCCATAACCTTGAACATCTTGATCATCCTATCGTCAACTTTTATTTCACCATCCCCGTTGACTTCCCTGGCTTGCTCCGTCTCCTGAGTGGGAGAGATGGGTACATCTGTGCTTTGCCCATCCAAGTTGACCACCCTTGCACTCGCCATGGCCAAGGAGGGAGAGATGGTTGCACTTGTGTCTTCCCCATCCCGGTTGACTTCCTTGGCGCTATGAGTGGCCTGGGAGGGAGAGATGGGTTCTCCAAGAGGTGCATCTGTGGTGGGCTGACATTGAGGTTGGCTGGAAGGGTAGAGGTTCGAGGGGAGAGCTGGGGGAACAAGGGGAAGAGGGACACGGACAGGGGCAGGATAGGAGGCAAGAGGGTCGTTCTCGCTCAAATGCTGAAAAAAACAGGCTGGGTGCACCTCTTGAGGCAAGGTGAGCTCCTGAGTGGTGACAGAGGGGTAAGAAGGTAACGCAAGTGAGTGATAGATGGCCAACGGAGAAGACGGGTGAGGGGAGGGAGGCCAAGTCGAGAAAGGTACAAGATCATAAGAGGGGAGAAACGCAAGGAAGTAGTGGGTATGGACAGAAGAGTATTCATAGCCATGCACAAAGGGGGGTGAAGGCCAAGCAAATTGAACAAAGTGAACACACTGAACCTGAACAATGCGTGGGACAGAGGAGAGGGAAGGAGAGATGGAATCCGGGTCCAGTGGTGTAGGGTTGAAGGAGTGAGCAACCACAAAGCCAAAGGGAGGGGGAAATCTATCCGTGACACCACGGGGAGGAAGGAAGGTGTTCTGCAGAAGGGGCCGAGGTCAGGGGGTACCACTGGAGGGAAGCTGAAAAAGAGGATGAAGGAAGGGTTAGGAGCTGGAGGAGGGGTGGATAGCAAGACGGGAGGGAGGGTGCAAAGCGGAGCAGGGTGAGCCTCAGCAGAAGGGCCAGGGGCGAGTGCAGGCGAAGAGGGTGGGTCAGGGACTGGGACCTTATGTGTCAACGGAAGTACTTCTGCTGTTGGAGAGAGAACACCAGGAGGAGAGGAGGGGAGAGACAGAGAAGAACCCTGCATAGAAAGGCTCAAGGAGGGAGGGGACATGGGGGCAAAAGGGGAAGAGCTAGAAAAGGCAGATCTGCCCGTTTCGCTAAGGTCAGAAGAAAAAACCAAGTGGGCGGGGTCAGAGGAAGAAGAAGCGACTGGGGTAGGTAGGGAAGGCGGCTGGGGTATGGAAGGGGCAGACGCAAGGACGGGGGAGAGGAGAGAGAGGGGAGACCCAGGTAGAGGGAGCCTAGGCTGGGCGGGAAGGCTATCAGATGGGGATGGCTGCCCAAAGGCAAGTGACCGTTGGGAGAGGAAGCAGAGGATGCGTGGGCCATGGTGGGCAGCGAAGAGGACAGGTGTCCAAGGGTGGGTAGGGGAGAGGGCGGCGAGTACAGGGGCGACATGGACAGGTGTTGAGAGGAGGGTGACCAGGTTGAGGAAGTGGGTAAGCTAGGCGGCTGGGGAAGAGGTGGAGGCACAAGAGAGACATGTGGAGGGGGCGTTCGACACGGGTAATGAAGG